ATAATAAATAGGCAAACATATCATTCAAAGTGCTTATATGCCTACTAATAATTATGTAGGGCCACTGTTTTTACTCATTCAATATGCAAAAACACTACATAAGTATAGTGTCATCTAGACCATGCCCACAGTTCCCAAATGCCAACAAGGGGAATCTGCCCAAAGTAAACAGCAGTAGTAACAGGAAGCAGGAACTCAGGACTTCCAGTTCCAGCTGCACACTTCACTTAGGCATCATTTACTTCGAAGATAATTAAAGCCTAGGAGAGGGAAATCAGCAGGGAGAGGAGAAGCAGCAGAACAGAGTTCCGCAGAAGTCAAAGAGCTGGAAGTGACTAGAGTTGGCCATTAGAAAACTACTGCTCACTCAGTGTTCCCGGCACTAGAAAGGCTGAAGACATGAAGTCCTGGTGGCATCTGCACTGGAAAGCAGCAGAAAGGAAGAAGCGTAGGCTAGGAAGCCAGGAAGTGTTTTCACTGCTCTTTTTACAGAGGGCTTCAGGGGGAGGGGTATTTTAAAAGAGAGAGCAAAAAGATACCCAGAGAAAATAAAAAAAAGAGAGGTAGCAGGAAGAAATTCCAAAATTCTAACAGTCCACCAAGTGCCACCCTTGGTTCAAATAGCATGCACTCTAACCTGTATCTCACAGGCGTCTTTTCTTTGTATCACCCCATTAAGATTTACAAAATAACCACAAACAGTATGCATGACAGATGTCTGCCAGCGGATACTTCAGTTCTCCCTTCTGGATCCTGTCTATCCTAACACTCCTCTACCTATCCTAACACTCCTCTACCTACCCTTCTGGATCCTATCTATCCTAATACTCCTCTACCTACCCTTCTGGATCCTATCTATCCTAATACTCCTCTACCTATCCTTCTGGATCCTGTCTATCCTAACACTCCTCTAACCTACCCTTCTGGATCCTGTCTATCCTAACACTCCTCTACCTATCCTAACACTCCTCTACCTACCCTTCTGGATCCTATCTATCCTAATACTCCTCTACCTACCCTTCTGGATCCTATCTATCCTAATACTCCTCTACCTATCCTTCTGGATCCTGTCTATCCTAACACTCCTCTAACCTACCCTTCTGGATCCTGTCTATCCTAACACTCCTCTACCTATCCTAACACTCCTCTACCTACCCTTCTGGATCCTATCTATCCTAATACTCCTCTACCTACCCTTCTGGATCCTATCTATCCTAATACTCCTCTACCTATCCTTCTGGATCCTGTCTATCCTAACACTCCTCTAACCTACCCTTCTGGATCCTGTCTATCCTAACACTCCTCTACCTATCCTAACACTCCTCTACCTACCCTTCTGGATCCTATCTATCCTAATACTCCTCTACCTACCCTTCTGGATCCTATCTATCCTAATACTCCTCTACCTATCCTTCTGGATCCTGTCTATCCTAATACTCCTCTACCTACCCTTTTGGATCCTGTCAACACATTCTAAAATTTTTCTGTCCAAGTCCTAAAAGAAATTCAAACTTTCTAGAAGTCATTAAACAAGCCGGGCGGTGGTGGCGCATGCCATTAATCCCAGCACTCGGGAGGCAGAGGCAGGTGGATCTCTGTGAGTTCGAGACCAGCCTGGTCTACAAGAGCTAGTTCCAGGACAGACTCCAAAACCACAGAGAAACCCTGTCTCGAAAAACCTAAATAAATAAATAAATAAATAAATAAATAAATAAATAAATAGAAGCCATTAAACCCATACAGCTTAAGTGATAAACAAGTGATAATTAAAATGTGAAATAACTGAGATTTTGAAAATACAAGGTGGGTCATATATTCTTCTCTGAACATTTTTCTTATTTATATCAAAGGCCAAATTATTACCTAATGAATTTCTTTTCAGAATACACAGCACTCATTTTTATAAAGATTAAATTCATATTCATTTTAATATATTTTATACTATAATTGTATCAAGCAAATTCAAAATAAAATTATTTCATAATACTAATAAAATACCTGCTTACTTTAAGAATGAGTAAGATCCTTTTTGTCAGGGCTGGAGAGATGGCTCAGCAGTTAAAAGTACTGGCTGCTCTTCCAGATGACCAAATTTGATTTCCAGCACCTACATGGTAGGTGACTCACAACCTCTCTAACTCCAGTTCCAGGGCATCTATAACTCCCTCTTCTGGTCTCTGCAGGCACCAGGCACACATGGCGCACACACACATAAATGAGGGCAAAAAACCCATACACATAAAATAGTAATTTTTAAAATCCTGTCATTTATTACCAGCTTATCTCTAATTCCACAGAAGATATCCATAAATTATATGTATTCTTATCTCCAAGACCAAAAAGAGAAATGTTTTAAAACAAGTCTACCTTGTATTTCATCACTTAGGAGGGGTGGAAGCAGGTAAATTCAAGCCCAGCCTCAGCTCTACGAGTTCAAAGGCAGTCACGCTTCAGGAGACCTTGTCTCCAGTAGATAAAGCCTGTCATCCTCAGTCATCTTCACTGCTTTTGAAAAGACCTAGGTTTTAGGGCCAAACATGGTAGCTGTCTGTAGTGTCTGAGCTTGACTAGGTCAAGTTTTATGCCAGCCTGTGCTCGATCATGAGACCTCGTCAAAAACTTGAAAATTTAACTGTAAAGGGAACAGTTTAGTATGCAGTAAGTCCCTATGTGTGTTACTAAAGATATAGATATTCACCCCGTGCACTATTTTTTCCCATTCCACTGCACTAACTGCAGCTACCGGCCGCATGGCTTCCCTAGTCACTTGCTACTTAATGAAGCTGCACTGCTAAGCCAGTTCACTATCAGGCAAAGTTGTTTTCTGTTTGGTTAGTTGGTTTTGGTTTTTGTTTTGTTCCTGTGATATAGGGTTTCTCTATGGAGCCCTGGCTAGAACTCACTAGGTAGACCAGGCTGACCTTGAACTCACAGAGTGAGACCAAGTTTTTAACACGTTCAGAACCATGGCAGTGCATGACCAGTACCCTTACCATTATTTTATAAATGCCCAAGCTTCCTTTCAAATCTCACGCTCCAGTTCCAGTGAGAGGAAGCTGTTGCTGGCTCTGCTGCTCCTGCTGTCGGCACCGAGAAGGTGCGGAAGGATGCAGGCTATAATCCCGGCTCCTCAGTTTACTGTGATGAGTTACTTAAAACTCTGCACTTAATTTTCTCGCTCTCCGTAAAAGGGGAATAAAAGCCTAGGCTACAGAACTGTCAGGAGGATCAGAGGAGAAAATATTTGTAAAGCTCTTTTAATAATTGCTGGTGTATAGCAAGCACTCAGTAAACACCAGTTATGACAGCTCTAGGATCCAGCTTCAGAAATGCCATCATCTGGGACTATAACCACGTTTATACAAGAATCCTTTACATATTAAGACCCTTTTTAAAGAGGACGAAAATCATTTACCAAATAGAAACTGTTTTGAAATCAGTATTAATTTTTCTCTGACTTTTTATCAGTTCTGGTCACAAAATGACAAGGGCAATGCTATAAATGAGAATCTGCATTCTAAAATGGTCAAGAGAATTTAAACACAAAGTGCTCTTGTATTTCTGCCTGCAGAACGATTGCTTCTGTGTCTAGGCCTTTTCTGCTCTTTTCATATTTTACAGGAGCCACATGACTTGTGGCTAGAGAATTTAGACAGCTAACAAAGAAATTTAGAGAAAAACATTTCAGTTTGCTTCAGAAATAAAATAATCAAAAATACTGAAACATCAAGTTTCAAAATGTAATCAAATCAGATCTTCCAATGATTTTAACACTATATAGATTTATTACTAAAATACTCAATATAATGGGCTGCCCAAGGTGGCTCAGTCGTTAAAGGCTAGGCTCACAACCAAAAATATAAAATACTAAATATTAATCAACAATAGACAATAGTATCAAATTCACAAAAGGAAACGACAGACCTCTAAAATGTAAATTAAACAAGTAATCTGTGTGTCTAATACAGCATTGAAAATTTTACTGAATGTGAAAATTACTTTTAAAAATTTGGAAAAACCATTACTTTGCCTACTCGCTTTAAAATGCATACTTCATGTGACTAATTTAAGAATTCATTCCTGAAATTTTTCTAAACGCAGACTACGAAAATCGTTGCTTGAAAATAACTGCAGTGAGAAAATGTATTGTGTTTTTTTTTCTTTTCAAGGCGACTGAGAGTTAAAAAGGAAATGGCCAAGGGAAAGGGGAGGACCGTTTCCTTTCACACGTTAGTAAATGTCAAAGAACTTTCAGGAGTCAAATCTCCTAGAAGTCTGATGCGGGGTCAAAGTTGTCTCAATGACAGGAAAGCCAACAGACGCCAGATGACTAATAGCAAAGTTATCAAAACACTTGTGTGCCCAGCAGTAACTCCAAAAGCATACAAAGTACAAATGTCCAGGCTGAGAAGACAGAGAATAGCTAAGATTCTTGCGGGCAAAACAACATTAACGATGGCAGCAACAAGCAGTATTATACAACGTATCAAGATTCTCACACTCTGCCTTCCTCGACATTATTCTATTCATCAGGTAACATTTTTAAATAACGAAAAGTAACGCGGATTCCCAAAGAGTGATCCAAATGTAAAAATAAGGTTCAATCAAGTGAGTATTTAGTTCTTTCTATTGTAAACCAAATCTGCTTCTTTACATTAAAAAAAAAAACTACCAGTTCTATCTCCAAAATCTAATAAACACAATTCACTAGCGATTGAAATAATATTTTTAATCCTTGCATTACCTCACAGCTAAAAATGTCAAGATACCACACCCAATATGTCTTTCTCCCCCCCCCCCGTGGGGGAGGGGTCAGGGAATACGAGAGTGGGGACGGGAAATTACACGAAAACAGTGCAGGTGATTTCCCTGGCAGGTTCCTCCACCGGGATCCGAGCGCACACGTTGAGAAGGGCGAGCACAGGCCTTGGCCTCTACAGGCACCCTCCCTCGCCACCCGCTGGGGTAGGAGCCGGGACGCGCCACCCAGGGCTACTCACCAGCCGTAGTGCTGACCAGCAAGGCGGTCCATAGCAGCCAGGGCACCCGACAGGGTCGCTGCAGCGAGGAAGTCATCCCTGGGCCAGCCAAGAAGCAGGAAGGCAAAGAAAAGAAATGTGGAAAGTAAATTCGGGCGGAGAAAGCCGGCCAGGAGGCTGCTCGTCTCTCCGTCTGATTTATCCTGCCCGGATTACAATGCAGTTTGAAAGGACAAATGGCAGATGCGAGGACCTAGCTGGAGAGCTCTCATTCCACTGCAGAATTTCCCTTCATTTCGCTCCCGCGTGGCTGGGGGGCTTCATTCGCCTAGGACAGGGTGCCTCGGCTCCCCAAACTGAAGGCATGTCCGTGGGGGGGGGGGGGGGGGGGAGAGAAGCAGGGAGCCCTGAAGAAATGCCTGCAATTATTTCCCTCGTAGCTTCACGATATCAAAAAAATATCCAGATCTGGGAGAAAACATATCCAGAGTGCCGGGGGTGGGGGTGGGGAGATGGAGGGCGGGGACTCGATGGGGGCACTGAGGATCAGAACAAGTTCCCGACCACCGGGAAGGGCGCAGCGAGGCGGGCGGCGGCGCCTGGCCGCCCGAGTCGCATCGCTCCGGACTCGGAGTGCAGACGGTAGGGTCTCCGTTGAAAGTTTCGCCTCGTTGCTTGCTTCACTCGGATTCCGACATCAATAAATCCTCTCCACCGACTGGGTCGAAAAAGGTGCCGGCCTCCATGGGCGAGTCCACGGCTTCCTCGGAACAATCGCGCGAGGGTCGCGCAGGCAGGCAGGCAGGCAGCAGGCCGGGCCTCGGGGTGCGGGGGAGGGGAAGCGAGGGTCGCGGCCCCGGCGAGCCCCGGAGCGCCGCACGCGGGGAGGTGCGGGGCGGCCCCGGCTGGCCTTCCGAGGGCGCTCGGCCCACGGCCTCGCTGTCGGCTCTTCCCGCCGCTCGGCTCCGGGGACCTGCAGGAAATCCCAGCACCGTGGAAGAAGCCCGGTCTCCTCCCGTCGACGGCTCTCAGGAGCGAATCACAGCACAGCCCGAGGAAGAAGCAGAAGCCGCCGTCGCCGCCGCCGCCACCGCCGCCTCGCTCTCCGCAGCTCTGGGCGTCGCGGGCCGAGGGCGGGGGGCGGCGGGAAGACGGACGTAGGTGGCCGAAGAAGGGGTGGGCAGCGGGGGCTTGCGAAACACCCCGCGCCCCTCCGGGAAGCGGCTCCGGCGGCTCCGAGCAGACCAGACACAAAGGGGGGAGTCGCCGCAGCTGCCAGTCTGAGGCGCTCCCGGTCACCGGAGTCGCCCCGCCTCCGCCGCCGCCTCCTCCTCCTCCTCCTCCTCCTCTCTCACTCTCTCTCCCGACCCCTGTCTGTCTCGGGCCTGTGGTGCAGCGCGGGCGGCGACGGCGGCGGCGGCGGAGAATCGCACTGCGCCTGCGCGCCCGCGGCCACGCCCGGCCACGCCCCTCGCTCCCAGGCTGGCCACGGCGCGGCGTCTCGTCGCCCGGGCGGACCCGGGGCAGGGTGGGGCCGGCGTGGGGCGGGCAGCCTCGGTTTCCCCCCCTCCACTTCCTCACACCCGCGTCCCTTCCGCACGTGGATGGCGTGGCGACCTGTGCGAGCGTGTGTGTGTGTGTGTGTGTGTGTGGAGAGAGGCCATGCTACCCTGGGGTCTGGGCGGAAAGCCTGGAGGACGTCACGCCGCCGTTGTTTGCAGCGGGAGCCGAGACCCCGGGCCGCGTCGCCTTCCCCTCCCCTCGCGGTGCAAACAAAAGCCTCGGCCTCCGCGGGGAGGACCGCGACGCTGCCCTGTGTGCGCGTTAAGCCACCCGGGTCGGCCTTTTCCTCCAGCAGCCGTCCCCGCGGCCTCTCACAGGGAGGGTGGTGTGTGTGCACAAAGGCTGGAGGGGCTTTGCAGGAGAGCTGCGGCCGGCGCAGACTTCTGCCTCCAGGTATGGAGTGGGAGCCTGTCTCCTCACTCAAGCCATGCAGAAGGTCTCGCCCGCACCGCAGTTTCCCAGGACGGCTTTAAGCATTTTCTTTATTTCTTTTTTAATCACAGTTTCGTTAGATTCAGGCAACCAGGATAGGGGAGGGGGGGGACTATGACTATCCCCTGCGGGGGTCAGCCGACTTGGGTGGGATTTTGCTAGAAAAGAAGGGAGAAGGTGACGTGCTTGGCGCCATGATCGGAAGTCTGGGTTTAATTCTTTAACTGCGAGGTGGAAAAATTGCGTGGGAGGGCGATCTTAAGAGATGAAGTCTAGCCCTCCCTTCTCCCGGTAGGCAGAAAGGCTGTTCTGAAGGCTGGTTTTGCCGGTCTTTCATTGTGGCTAAAGGCTGTTCCAGGATACGTTCATAAATACACTCCTCAAGTTTGCTTGCTTATTCAAGTCTTTTATCTCTTTATCTGAACGTGATGTTAATAAATCACATTCCTTAAACTGGTTTCTGTTATCATAGTAAATATCTGCTATAATTAAGAGTTGTGGTAATACCTGCCCAGGGCTCTCGTTTTTTTTTTTTTTTTTTAGCTGAAATATTTTTATATTGTTTATCCTTCAGGCAGAGAGAATTTTTTTTCTATGAAATAAAATCCCTTTTGAAAAATAAGGAGCATATGCATTGGCTCCTTACCTTTACTACCATATTTTGTTTTGACTAAAAGGCCTAAAATAAGGAACTGGCATTGTTTTAACATTTAGCTTTCAAGACATGAGATCTAGTTCTCAGAGAAATGACAGATGTTGAAGGTGCAGGAAGTTTGCTAACTGGTGAAATACAATTTTTCTTCCTCGAATTGCGGTCGAGTACTTTATTATTCAACTATTATTTGCATAAAATTTTCCTAAGAAACATTAAGTGTCCTTGTACATGTTATATATGTGTAATAAATTATGTAGGAAGGAAGTCTTAGGAAATTCATGGTGAAAAAGTTCATGGCACTAATTTAGCAGGAATAATTAATCAGTAGACCTTGGTATGCAGTTCCTTCCTTTTCTGTTGCCATTAAAGTCACTCTCTAGTTGAGATGTGATGATTCACAGTGAGAAGGAACAAAAGTTAGCAACGACTTAATCTACTAGAGAAGACAGGCAGTACAAGTCTAACGAGTGAAAACAACTGATAGTAAGGTCCTATCCAGTGATCAGGATGGGCTAAGTTATAGTAACATCCCCAAGATCTTGTTAGCTTGCTGAGACAAATGTATTTACCCTGGTTTGTGTTTAGTAGAAGCGTTAGGAGACCTATCAGGAGTGGGGTTTGTATGCAATTTTAGAATATCTCTCTGGAACCAAGGCAGACCTCGGCTGGACTGAGCTGTAACATAGTTGCAAATGAAGTTTCCACCAGTCTTCAGGGACTCTGGAATTATGGTGACTTTTTCAGGGTTGTCCCAAAATGTGGCAGGACACCAGGTCTCTATCAACCAGTTGTTGTATAAAGACTGCCGGGAGGGATGGAAGGTGACCTTAGTCAAGAAAAATTCTCAAGAAAGGATCCACCTGTCAGTTACCAGGACTTCCAGTGTTTGGGGAAGGAATGTGTCTTGTAGATCTACGGAACTCTGCATGGTGTACTTTTCAGGGTTTCCACTCACTGCATTCCCTGAGGTACAGGGTTGCTGGATGCTTCCCTAAGACATGGGCCTTCAAGATTTCCAGAGTAGGGATCATAGAATTTAATTGATAGATGTTCAATGTCTTGCTCTGGCTGTTTAAAACAATTAAAAATTAAAAATCTTCCATCAGAAGCAATGTACATTCACATTTTATTGACCAGTGAAATCACATGGCCAAATCTAACATCAGAAGAGTTGGAAATAGATAGAATCCTACGCTGTTATGAGAGGGAGACTCTGAAAACTGAAAAGCTTTGGCATTATCATCACATCCAAGGACATTAGTGGACCTATCGTGAGTGGGGTTTATATCCAATTTAGGAATATCCCTAGTACTCAAGTTGCCGAAAGCCCAACACGTAAAAGGGTATCCTAATATACAGGGATAATTTGGCAATAAGGAGCCTACATATTGACAGGAAACAACAGAAAAATCCAGTAGTCAGACCAACACCATCTGAAAAACTGAGGTATCCTCATTGTGTGTTGTCCTTCATGGAGTCTGTCTTCCCTTTGAATTGGAGAACTAATAAAAACACAGCCAGACCCTAGGTTAGGAGGGGACATTAGTTTGGGGATTTGAATTGAGACAGTCTCTGTATGCTGCTCTAGCTGCATTGAACCTGCCACTGCTCCTCAGTGCTCTGATTACACATACAAGCCAACTGTTCTCGCATAAACAGATTATTAGAACTGGAGTAAAGTTCAAAACAAGTCCATGTTTTAACAATGAAGACACATAGGAGTTGCCTGAGCTCAGAAACACTGAATTCTTCTAAGAAGAAACCTTATGATCATTTAAAAAAAAAAAAACTGAACTCCAGCAGAAAAACAATGCAAACATCTGATGGTTGGTGTGGAGATATCTATCCAGGTCAGAATAGCAGAAAATAAAGCTACTTCGGGGCTAGAGAGATGGCTCAGCCAGCGAGAGCCATCCCAGCTCACTCAGAAGGCCCAGTGTTTGCATCTCAGCATACATAACAGGTGTCTCACAAACTTCTGAAACTACAGCTCCAAGACATCAAACACCTTCTTCTAACCTCCAAGGGGACATGCTCATACATGTGCACGTATCTTCACACAGATACAGTCACACAAACTTCAAATTAAAAAAAAAAAGCTGCTTAGAAATTTTAGGATTTAAAGCTGGACGGTGGTGGGGCACATTTTTTTTTTTTTCGGTTTTTCGAGACAAGGTTTCTCTGTAGCTTTGGTGCCTGTCCCGGAACTAGCTTTGTAGACCAGGCTGGCCTCGAAGGTGGAGCACATTTTTATTAAGTCTATTTTTTTATTTACTTATTATGTACATAGTGTTCCACCTGCATGTATGCCTGCAGGCCAGAAGAGGGCACCAGATCTCATTACAGATGGTTGTGAGCCACCATGTGGTTGCTGGGAATTGAACTCGGGACCTCTGGAAGAGCAAACAGTGCTCTAAACCTCTGAGCCACTTCTCCAGCCCCATGGAGCACATTTTTAATCCCAGCACTTGAGAGGCAGAGGCAGGCAGATCTCTGGGAGTTCAAGGCCAGCCTGGTCTACTTAATGAGTTCCAGGACAGATAGAGGTACATACAGAGACCCTGTCTCAAACCCGCATGTCAACCCCCCAAAAGAGAAATTCTCAGAAGAAGACTTAAATTTTACACAACTTTTTAAAAGTGTATTATTATTATTACTGGGGTAAGGGAAAGTTCCAATATTCTAACTCAGATTGCACAGCAAGCACCTTTACCCCTGAGCCATGTCACTAGCCCCATATTTTCCACAGTTTGCTTGATTTGCCCTGGATTTTTTTTTACTGACATAAGAGCTCTTCCTTACTGATGCCAGAAACTGGCTCTGTTGATCAAAGAGTAGAT